CTTTTGAACAGAAAAAAGGAAGGAAAATAACCAGAAAATGTGCGTAAATTCTGCTATTTTTATTCCCTTTATTTTATATAGTCATTAGACATATACCAGGAGCATGTTTGCTCTCCTAGAAGGTATTACGCTTGCGTTGACAGAGCTTCTGAGCTGATTTCATTGAGAAGATGGACAGAGTTAAACTCTGCCTGATACCCACCACATTCCACAGCCTGTGTGTGCAGTGGGGTCATTCCAGAAGCAGCGCCTCCGCGGAATGTGAGATACGTCACGAGCTCTGTGACTAACTGTTAGGAGGATGTCTGCAGGTCCTGCATCTGCTTGCTTTGTGAGTCAGGACATCCAGGGCTTCACACACACTGAAGTCTTAAAAGATTAAAGCTTCCACAGAGTAACATTTCAACTGTAAATGGCATAGGTTGCTACTATGCATCCCAGCTCCTTGGCTGCTCTGCTGTTCCCTTGCCGTGTATTTCCCTGGATGAATTTCTTTCCTTGATTTACCTTTCCTCAGTGCAAGCATTTTTCATCTCCCTTTTCAGAATTTCACCTTTGGGGGCTTGGACTAGTTCTCTGGTTAGAAAGACCATTTTTATTCTAATCTTGTCCTTCAGAGTGCTTGCAAAATCTCTGCTTCATTGTCTAAGTAAACAAAAGTGTTGACTAGAATCAGAACAGACCCTTTGGGATTCCTAACAGAAGACCTGTCTGAGATTAATGACAACACACTCATAGTAATATTTTAATATATTTTTTAACCAGTTGTGCACCCATGTTATGGTGATTTTGTTTGCACTTTGGTTTTCTCAGTTTGCTTATCAGAACGTTACATCAAATGTTATCAAAACCCTCAAAAAGCCGTATCTCATCTACAGCTTTTGCTTTTTCTGCAGGCTCGCTGTCTCTCAGCAAGGGAAATTAGCCTGTTTTGATATTATTTGTCTTAAACAATCTAACAATTATTATTTTTATAATTTCGTTATCCTTCAAGGTGCATGGAAATGCATTGTTTAACAACTTGTTCTATTTTTTGGATGCTCAGGTTTTTGCAACATTTTATTTCATAAAATCTCTTTCCTAGTTTTTGCATAATAACTTTTGTCCAAGGATCAACTTACAAAGCACAACTTCGTTTGCAGTGTGAAATAAGGCTCTGAAACAGAACTTGTCCATGCTAGTCCTAGTTCTGCAATACTTCTGATGATCAGATAAGTTTCTTACTGACACTATCCCACTGACTCAGTTTGCTTCTTGCTGCTTATTTTCCTCTCAGGTATATTTTGAAGATTAATGAATATTTATAAAATGCTTTGAGTGAAACCTGCACATGAAAAATGCAGCAGAAATTGGAAATGTCATCATTACTGATGCTTATTATTTTTTAAAAAGGAAACTATATTGCAGTCAATATCCATGGAGAATTATTAACTATAAAAATAGAATAAGGACTCTAAAGGTACTAGAGGAAATTGTGGCTGGTACAACTACACTGAAGGTGAAAGCAGCTGAGTAACCTGATGAAGAAAGCCTTGCAATGGCACAAGATACAGTGGGCAAGTTTTATTAATAATGCTTAGCATTGAAATATATGCAGGATAAAGTATTTGTATTACAGGAGGATGATGAAATCCTTTTCAGTCTGCAAGTAATTAAAGATGAGGTTCATCATCATAAGTAACGTTAATAATTTTAAAGCAGCAGGCTCAGATAACCTGTACTAAAGAGCTCTAACAGAACTGTCAAGAGAGATCTCATTTGTAATAACTCCTGGCATTCCAGTGAAATTTCAGAAGACTCATAGTATTGTGCCAATGTTTAAGGAAAGAAAACTAAATAAACAGAGCAAGCAGGATGACCCAGCTAGCTGTGCTATGGTTAAGGTGACACCAGTCCCAAGTAGCACAGTACAGAAGCTGATACTTAGCCAGGCAGTAAATAAGTCAATAATTGGCAATAATTTTTATTTTTATCAACATTGTCTTGTTGATAAATCCCATTTCTTGATAAAGGTTGTAAGCCCGTTTCCTACAGATTAGTGTAGGAACGTATTTCACAACATATTTCACAAAGCATTTGATCTACCATTGTGACATTTTGATAAAGATCTTAGTTGAGTCTAGTGTCACGAAATACAGAGACATTTCAGTTGTCTGGGCCAGCCTGGGTCCAGAAGCAGGGCCTGTGCTTCTGAGCTGTGATGCATAGCAGGCACTTAACCAAATCAGGTCAGCATTAGCTGGGGATGTCTGCAATCATCAGCAACTTGCATCTTTCTGTTCCCTGGTTCACCTTCATGGTGTATTGTTGTAGTCTGATTTTTAGTGATTTGTCTTATTTTTAATTTTGCTTTATCTGAGTTATCCTAGCCTTTTTGTAAATGTAAAATCACCACTGATAGCATTTCTGAGTGACACAGAGATTGTTTAAGATATAAATTACTGTGAGATAAAGCAGCTAGACAGAGCAAACAGTGGCTTAGGAAGGTTGATCTGTTCACATGAAGGTTTTGTAATGCAACCAAGTTCAATGCAGTAAGCCTAGGAGCTAAGATCACAGTTCACACCTCTGGGACCAGGGAGCTGTACCGTGGAAAAGAGTAATGCCAAGAAAAAATGAGGAACCGTTAACACATGGACACTGCAGGCATGCAAATAATCAGAACGATGCTGTTGTAGACATGGGCAGTGCAATTACGGAGAAATGTGTGGAGAAGCAGGGACACAGTGCTCTCTCTGTAGGTCACCTGTAACACTGCCATGGAGTACAGCTTTGATTTGTACAACTTAGGGAGGATATTCATGACTGGAAAAGGTACAGAGAAGAACTGTAAGTATGATTTAAGGAGAGAGGGAAGGTGTTATAATGACTTATGTGACCTGAATACAGCTAAGATAGAGCTAATTGCTAAGAAGCAATTTGATCTAGTGTATATGCTGCTGAGCAGAAAAGCGATGCTGAATACTGAAGATCTTTAATACAACAGGCTTTAGCAAAAAGCAGTGGCTGAAAGCTGAAACAACAAATGTTGAATTAGGGATAATCTTTAACACTGAGGAAATACATTATTGGGTGCATTGGACAATTTTCCATTATTTGGAGTTTTAAATCAAGACTGAAAGTCTTTCTGGATGATAACTTGTATCTGAATAAAACATATCTGGATCAATGAAAGAATGACCAAGAGGTATGGGACAATTTCTATGCTAGGGACAACTGAGTAGTTCTTGACTTTTTGGCTTAGAAAAGAGATGACCTAGAGGAAATATGGTAGCCCTGAAAAATTATTGGGGTCACAAAAGAGTTAAATGGTTTGCTTAGGGTACATCATGAGTCAGTGGGAAAGTTATGAATAGGAGCGAGATGCTCTTGGTGCCTTAGCTGCTGTGGGATGCAGTGCTGTTCAAGAGCACGCAATAACCAGTCTCATGCGTCATCCTGAAACTAAGCATGGAAGAATTGTTTGTTGAGAGTGGTTTCGAGAGTAATTTAGCCAGAGCAAAGAGAATAAAGTGGAATGGGAAGAAAAAGAGCAGAGACACAGGCAGAGATAATTGTGCTATACTTAACAAAGAACGTGAAGGAAATCTTTGGCCATGGTGATACAGAAAACGTTGGTGTTAATGGCAGTGAGAGGGGATAATTAATTCTTGCATTTTGAGCACAGCAAAATAAAAACCAGGAAAATTTCTACTCTGACTCAGGTGCAATAAAGAAGGACAGGAAAGAACGGAGTTAGTGAACTAGGGGGAAAAAGGACTTTTTCTGTCAGAGCTTTACAGAAGACGAAATTCTTGTTCTTTCTTTTCATACAGTAGAACCGGCAAATTGAGTTAGCACGAAATACAGATGTGGCAAAGTGTCATTCTAAAAACAATTCAGTGCTGGTAGGAATTAGTCCATTGTTAAATATACTGAGAAGCTGATTGGAAGCAGAGCATGACCTAATGGGTGTAGCATTACTATTGCAGCTGTGTGAAACCATTCAAATAAATAAACAGTCCAGTGAAGAAAGTGTGCTGGATTTTTAAGATTCTCCTAGTTTAACAGGATGTGCCAAGTCATTGTTTTAACTGTGGGCCAGATCCTTAAATGCTGTAAGGTGCCTAGCTCCATAGCAAGCACTGAGATGATGCTGAGTTTCACAATTCAATCATCTGACCCCCGAAATTAAATCCTTCTCATGGTTTCCCTGGTGATACCACTATGAAAGGCTGTACAGAATGGCACAGACCTGTCCAGTTTACAGTGATGTCAGAGGGAGTATGGATGCCTAAGTGAAAGCAGGATTTCATTCATCCTTACCTGACGAGTCCCTCTGGGACTGGTGCAGATTTTGGTTTGACTTTGACTGTAACAGTGATGCTGGGAAGCAGAATTACTCATGGGAGAAACCTGATGGGGACCCACCTTGACACTTCCGTTTGTCAGAGATCATTGTTTGGAATCATTCAGTGGGATTAATTGCACTCAAAATTGTGCTTCAAATTCATATCATAGGAGACTTTTGTACTGCTGCTGTTGAAGGTAAAAGCCCAGTGCAACAGACCGTGCATACTGTATACTGGCAATATACGGATCTGGGGATTTATCTAGCACACCACAATCCCCTGTTTTGCAAGAATGTTTTTGAGATACAAAATAAATACACTTTCAGTGGTCAGTAGCCAGGCTTGCTGACCTACTTCTGCCTGCAGCATTTCTTCTTTATCTGAGCAGAGCCAGGCACACAGGAACTTGTGACGGGAATGCTGTGTGCCTATGCTAATGAAGGGTTTGGGTTGAAGATTTGGTGCATTACTGGCATGGCCTTCCAGAGGTCTCTAGTTCTCACTGTTCTGCCTTAAGTCAGCAGGAGCTGCCTGTGCCTCTCCTCTTTGAAAGTCAACCCCTAGACGTTACCTTCAGGCTTCTAGGTGTTCAGTTCAAGGCACAAGATTACACCTGTGCTAACCTGTCTGGGAGCTTTGTGATGCAGATGCAAAAACATCAGAGAAAGATTAATATAACCAGCCATTGATTTATTATGTTCTGGGAAGTAAGGGATAAAGCAGGCTGGCGTGATGCTCTGAGCCCAGCCCCCTTGACGATTTCTCTTGTCCTGACATACATCCACCAGCATTTATCTTGTCTGTTCCCCTTCCTCTCCCTTTAGTTTCTCAAACTTCAGGAGTTTCTTTTGGCAGGCATGCTCCTCGCTGCTGCTGCTGCTGCTGCTGGAGCTTTCCTCTGAGCTTTCAGAGAGGAGATACTTGATTGCCATCATGTCCTTCTTGTTCATTTGCAAGCAGAGGCAGGAGGATTTGCTCACCTTAAATGACTCCCCCCACATATTCTGGCACATGTCAGTCCCATTTGTGTACATCTGTGTGTCAAATAAGAAATGCATCAATTAAATTTAAAAAGAATTGAGTTAAAAATCAGTTTTTACAAATATTTATAACTTTTAAAAAATTGGTAGTAGATTATAAAAAAGCAGTCTGCAATCATCCACTGTCTTGCTGTGTGCCATGCTTCATCACTTCTGAGATATCTTAAAATGTTATCCCGCAACTGGCAAAAGAGATTTGGCTGTTGTGAAAGCAAGTGATTACACAAAGTGCAACGCGATCAACAGCCAGCCCTTTGTTTCCACCCTGGGGCTGACAGCCCAGCTAGCTTTCTGGCTCTGACAGACCAAAGCCGTGTGTGAGAGCCTGTACAACTTGTAGCATGTCAGGACACTCTGACATGTCTCGGGATCTGAGTAGTGCTGAAAGCGCCAGACTGAGTGTTTTGAATACGGAAACCTTTATATCTACAGGCTAGAGACAGCCCAGTGGAGTCATAGCTCTGTGGGATCTCACTGTGCCTGCTGCAGCGTACATTGTGACCGGGCAGGACCTCACAGACAAAGAGAATGGACAAAACTTAGAAACTGCTTGAAGAAAAGAAGTTTTCTTCAAGCCTCTGAAGTGCTGTGTCCAGTGGTGCAATGGCCTTTCTGACTCAAGAAACTGTAAACTGCAGCTTCTTGCACTCTCTGCAAGTGAATCTGTCCTGTTCTTGATATTACGTTGTTTAGTAAGGCATGTGTCATAGGACCTGTACAATCACACAACAAAGATATTTCTTGTTTGCCAAGCTCACGTTGTGACAACCTTATGTCCGCCCAGCTTGAGTTTGGCTAAAGAGTATTAGCTTAGGAGTTATCACATCCAGCCACAGAGTGGGCAGGATATACACTTTATCTTGCATGCATTTCTCCCATGTGTTTGTGGTTGAAGTTCAATCTTTTCTGTTTCTGTAAAGGAAGCTTTAGGTACTCCCAGAAACAAATCTAAGAATGAAGTTAGGGGTGGGAGTAACGGCAGGAGCAGAAGCCTTGGGAATTAAGGAGTGGGAATGTTAATGACTGAAACAGGGGACCAGGCAGCAGGACTGCTGGGCTCCGTTACGGACTGATTCACCCTGACCATGTCACCAGCATCTCTCTGAAGAAAGCTGTGTTTCATCTGTAATAGTACAATCAGGCCTTGCACATGATGCTGATTCTTTAATCCTACAGTGTTTCTCTTAGTGCTGTAATTTCTGGATGATGTGCTGGTTTGCTGTCATCACCAGCTCATATAAAGATCTGACACCGTGACTCTCGGAGAAGGTGCCCTCTGTTTGCGGTTGGAAGATTTCTGCATGGAAGCTGTGTGAAAAAACCTAATGATTACAGATTTAAGTCTATTATGTGGAAGTGGGACTAGGCATCTGTAGTCCTGCAGCTTTTTCTGCTCCACCTATTTTCCACAAGTGTTCTTACGAGATGTCCCCCTGTCTCCCCACAGGCAAAACTATGTTGACGTATGTTGTATAGGAAAGCAGATGAGAAGAAATCATAATCGTTGCTTTTGCCTTAGAAATCTGTCCTTTCTGAATAACACAGAGTCCATTCCAAATGGCCCCACAGATTTTGTAGTCTGTAAAATAGCTTTTCAGTTCACACCATCTCTAGCCAGGGCTCGTTCCATGGATACTGCAGTTGCTGGAGGAGGAGTGTGGAGGTTGGCTAATGCACTGGGAGCAATGCAAGGTCAGAGATGGAAAGGTTGCTGCATCTACTTCTCTCCTTGTGTTCTCCAGGCAGGCAGATCTTAGCTGTTTCTTTCGCACTATTCCTGTGCTTTTAAGCAGCATTAGATGTTTTCTTCCAGCTCCTGTACAGTTCCTGGATTTCTACCTGCTTTTAGCTAATAATTCCAGAAAGTATTAAAACCTGTTATGTGGGTTTTCTTAGGTCTGTATGCAAGATACATGGCTACATCCTATTCTTATGTTCCACACGTTCTGTGACATGTATTCATGCTCTTCTACTCGCTAAATTGGTAATTTTATTTTGACCTTCCTTCTAACTCTGCTTAAAGATCAAAGCATAGCCAGAATGCTGCAGCAAACAAACAGTGCACACAGCCCATTTACCAAACGTGTCCCTAAATTACTGCAGAGGGTTCTGATTCTACAGCTTCTTGGAAGATGATGTAGTCTATGCATTAACATTGCTTGGGGAGCACTCAGCTGGGAGAACAATGACAAAACATGCCTCGTTTTAGCCAGGCTAAAACTGGCTATGATCCATTGTGCATTCTTAATATTCAGCATTTGTTCCACATTCAGCATTTGTTGCAAATAGTCCTTGCAACCACTTGCATATGTCAAATATAGGGCTGCTGATTGCTCCTCCGTATGAGCTGAGGGCATCAAAGGAAAGTAAGCATCTGTCCACAGTGCTCTGACACTGGCGAGCCCTTTGTGCTTCTGGGTAACATTGACTTTCTTTTCCATGAGTTGAGTCCAAACCAAGTGAGTCTAGTGTTTGCATATCATGTAATTTTCATATGAGAAATGTGTTTTTTAATTTCTCTGAAGAAACTTCATCTTTACTCTTGCTTACCATGCAAGCCTATTTTTGGTGAAAAACATGGGCAGTTTAGGGTGTGGTTCCGTTTAGTTTAGGAATAGCTGTGCCTGGCTTCAAGTGATAAGGCCTCTGGATTTGCTGCATGTTTTTCCCTGCAGATGGTATATCTTCTTTAAGAAATAAGTACAAGGGAATTCAAGGTTAAAAACTACTATCTCTGGTCCAGGGACAGCTTGAACAGGGACTGGAGATTATTTACGGAGATTATAATTTCATTTTTCACTTCATCTGGAACTACTGATGATTTAGCACATCTGGGAAACTAAGCTGTAAGTTTCTGCAGCCCATTTGTTTTTTGGCCACCTTCCTGAGCCTGCTGATTAGTGTCACTTTTGCAAGGCAGACAGCAATCCCGCGCTAACTGGACTGTGACTTCCACTTATATCAGTTGCTGAACTGACTTCTGGAAGTACATGCACTTGAACTGAATTCAAAACAATGAATCTGGGATCTCTGTAAGCCTTACGACCAGTCCTTAAGCACTACACTTAGATTTCGTTTACTTCTGCAATTTGGACTGTTTTCATGGACTCAGTGAAGTTCAATTGTTAAAAATAGTCAAATAAGCATAGCAGTTTTGAGCTGTATTATGTTGCCCTGATGCTAAACTTACTTGAGTCACCAGAAAAAAATCCTACCTGACTCTTGAAAGGTCTGTAGATCAGGTGCCAGGCAACCTTGCTCCTATAAGTCTTGTCAGTTCTCATTTTATACACTTTTGCTTATAAAATTAGTTATCCGAACCACTAAAACCTTCTCAGAAAGATGGGATGAGCTCTCAGAAAGCTTGTCAGTGCTGCTGACATATGTTCTATAACCATCAGAGTTACACAGAACAATGTTAGTTCTGCCTAGCCATTGCCAGACACAATGGAGAACACACATCAGAGAGGTGACAGGTCTAGGGAGAACAAAAGGGAGACAATTAGAAGAATGTCAGGACTTGGAGGATGAAGAAGGACTTGAACATGACAAGGTAAAATAGAGAAAAGGGCAAAGATGCCTAATAGGCAAGAAAACCTTAAAAATTCCTTAGTCATTTGGGAACTTAAGTCCCAATTTAAAAAGACAAAGTGTGTAAAGTCCCACACTATGTAAGGAACCTTATAAAATGCATCTCTGTTGTATGAACAAAGTTCATTTATCTTTTACTTTCTAAACTCCACTGTAGTTAAAACATCAGTGCTGAACTTTGTATTGCAATAGTGATTAATTAAATGTATATACTTAGAGTAAGTGATCTACATAAATATAAATGTTTTAAAATTTGTATACTTAAAAAGTCTGATGTAGGTATGGCTTGGAACTGCTGAAGCAAAAATAATTCACTTGTTGCATTTTACACCCATATATTCAGCAAAAAAAAAAAGAAGTCTTAATGCCATTTTTTTCTGCTCCAGGTGATCAGGTTTTCTTACCTCGCTGTATGGAATACATTTAGTCTTACAGTGGTTTTTTCCACTTTCATCCCATTCCCAGTCCGTCAGCCAGTTATGAGCACATATGGAATCATCTTTGCAGGCTTCATACCTTCATGGAGATTAGTGTGGAAGATACAGTTATTTCTCTCACTTTTTTTTCAGCAGACTTAGATTCAACTCAGAAAGTCTACGTGGGCCATGCTATTAACATGGTATGGTTGCACAGTGCAGCTTAGCAACAGATATTCAAGAAATGTGCACATTATCTTAGCTTGACATGCACATAAACTCTGCGCTGGCCAGGAAGACCTAAATCTCAATGAAAACTAAACAGTTCACCCACTACATTTTATACTCACAGACTTAAGTAAAAGGCAGATGTTCTGAGGAGCCACGCTTACTCATGCAGTGTTTTCTGCTGGTTATGTTTGCTGATGTTACTGAGCGGAGAAAATACTGTGTGGGAGGGAGTTTCATGAATGCTGATGTTCAATATTGTGACAGAGCACAGGTACGCTAAGAGTGAACTGTCACTTGAGGGAGATGTGGGGAAAGTCTGTATTTATGAATTAATGTGGGCAAAGAAGAATTGTATTTCCGGGGCAGGGGGTTGCTATGAGGAATGTGCACTGAAATAAGGAAAATCCACAAACAACAAAATCATACAAACTAATAGGCTGTCAGCCTCAGAACGTTTTCAAAGAAGTTAAACTTGAAGTGAAGGAGTAGAGTCTTGTAGGGTTCAGGTCTAAAATTAAGTTATTATTTAAAGTATACTTTAAGTGGTAATGTAAAAAACAGCCTATAAATGGCCTGGAGCGAGTACGGTATGCAACTGGCTCGTTTATGTGATGAGAGATCTCATGACTTACCATTATCCTACATAATTTCCTTCCTTCCACTTCTTTTTATGCTCTACTTTTTGGCTCTTACCTTTCTTAAGGATCACTTTCTGCAAATCAGTTAACATCTACTTAAATTTAGTCTCAATGGCTTCAGGTGGACTATTCACACCAGCAACTGAGAGTGCCAAAACCATGAGAGACAGCTTTCAGAAAGTTAGCGTAGTTCAGGATGGTATTTATAATGAATGCCTTTGGATATATTTTCTGTTTGTAATTTTTAATCTTTGGAGTCATGTTTGCAAAACTACTTGGATATCACGAGGGCTGCAGACTTTTATTTTTAAATGAAATATGAGGTTGTCACGTGGTCACAGAACTAGACATTGCACGTGCCGAAAGGTAAGAACATGCACAACTGCAGAACCTTCACATAGGTTTTCTGGGCTTTTTGGGGGGAGAAAGAGCAGTAACAGATGGAGGGTAACCAAGGCCCGAACTACACAGGCCTAGGGCAGGAGACACATTCTCAAATGTGTCCATCCATGAATCTGCTGTCAGAGGTAGGGGCTCTGCTGGAAATACAGGCGGCAATTTGATAAATCAATATAATGTGACACTAATAGGGAGATCCTACCAGTTTGTGCCATGACTGGATTTGGGACTAGGGACTATAAGAATAATTGGCTTGTTGTTTGTTAGTTGCTGCATGTACCCTGACTGAGAAAGACACACAGAGGTAACTCCCCAGTGACAGCTGTTTCTCTGATGCTAGTCACTTTGCCTGCTTGAAGGCATGCCAGTTACGAGCATCAATGCAAACTTCTTGTTAATCACCATCTATGACCTCTCCACATACCAGCATCAGATTCAACAATTAGCCCTTGATTTTTCAAGCCACGTAGGCATGTCCTTTATTTTGCACATGCACTTAAATTCATCGCTTTCCAGCAAAGTCGATCGATATCTCCTGTGAGCTGCCTAACAATAGTGCTTCCATTTAAAGCGGTTGTGCCCTTCCCGCAGCCTTCTTTTTTGGTTTCCTTTTTTATTTGGCTAAGTATTTTTCAGCCCGATGGATTCCCAGACCAGGGTTGCTTGACAGCCTCTCAGACAGTGCTGCTGGCACGTGGGTGGGGACAGGGTAGAGGAAAGAATGAGCAGCCCTTGGGGCTTAGGAAAGGGCAGAACTGCTGCTTTTGAAATTAGTGTCACCTCCAGTTATACTTCTCAAATTATGAATATGTATTTCTGAGTTTTACTGAACTGGGGCATTCATGCTATGCATCTGGTTTCCTCAGTTTTCTGAATTAAATATGTTTATGAAAGTATTTATATTTTTATTCACTATTATCTATTGAATTTTCAAATGAAATGTTTCCTAATTATGATTATTGCTTGACTCTGTGGTTTGTTATATAAGCAGGTAGCAAAGCATAACTATTGTTACGAGTTTTGCTTTATCCCAATGGAAGTAATTATGAAGCTAAGTTTTACGAAGAATCATGACTTCTGAAAACTCTGACTTCTGCTGTCCAGAGACCCATAAGTGGTTTCTTCAAACATTAATTAAAAACTGTGAGAAACGTAAACATAAATACTTAAAAGATCCTTCCTGAACATACTAGTTCCCTATGCACAATGGGCAGGATATTTTTATTTTAAAGCTTTCCCCCTCCCATTTTTTATAATTAGCTGTTTCTCTTTTAAAGGGCTCAGGACCCTTTCACAGGTGGATCAGAAAATGGCTTCTACATCAGGCTCTTTCAAAAGCAATAGTTTTAGGACTAGTGGGAGCAAGGAATCCTAAGACAATAGGAAGAAAAAGAAGGCCCCAAGCTAGTCAGATGAATTTCTTTTAAATGAAGTCACTGCTCATTCAGAATCCTCTGCACATTTCTGGCCACAAAGACATACAGTATGCAGCAGGCACACTCACGGCATGTAGAGAAAGTAGGTCACATCTAGCAGTGCTATGGCACGCTAAAGGGACTCCAGTGAATAGAACATGGAAAAATGTTACTTTAAATCATCAGAAAGTGTGGGAATTCTGTCCAGGCTCTTTTCTAGCCTCAGGCCTTAAGCAGGGTGAGGGAATGGGTTTGACACTGGCATTAGGCAGGCACACAGCCTAGCATGCACAGTAATGGGTCATCATTACATTTTTGATTCAGGCCAGGCATCTATGACGGCAACAGGGCTAATAGATCATTGTTCAGTATTTGTTTAGAGTAGAGCCTACTCTCTGCCAGGAGAGACTATTCTGGAAAAGGGTCAGTTTTTCCTGCCCAGCAGCTCTCAATCACGCACACCCACACTTTCCAACAACGAAAGTTAAAAATGTTATTTGCCTGGAGGTTCTGGTAATACGCAGGGGACACTGAGGGTTTTGCTATGTAATACTGACCCACCATATACACTTTGGTATAAATCTCCTATCTACTAAGGCTGGCTTAAACCAGTTCATAGATGCAAACTAAACTTACAGGATATATTTTCTTTCATCTTTACACTTTCACTGCATATAGCAATTTGGTGATGACTTTGTGTGCTACTTGTTTTGGGATACATTTGTTTTAGATATTGGTATTCTATTGCTTTGCCTGTTAGATCTGTTCTAAAGCTCACTGGCAACTCCAATGCTTTAATATCCAAATGCTTTCAAATTTTGGTAATACTTTGTTCTGAGCTTTGAGATTCTGAGCACTGAGGCAAATGCAAGGTCTCAGTCTTTATCTTCAAGGTCAATAATCTGGATTCAGTTTAGAAGATTACCAAAAATTTAGGAAGGAAGACTGCAAATGACAAATCTGTTCCTGAGCCACATGGAGTTTCCTAACACAGAAATAAAATTCATCACTAGAGGAAACTCTAGGGAAGCTAAGAAATACATCAGCCCTTTTCACTATCTTCCATTACAAATCCAAGCTATGATTCTTGTTTCCTTCTCTGGCACAAAGCAATGGAGACATATTTAAAGACAAATCCTACCAAAATACTGCACTGCATACATGACTTTGCCCTTGGAGAGAAGATGAGAGTGGAAATGGATCCATGCGTCAATAATATTGAAGTTGCATAACCACTAGGGAAGGCACCGTACAGAGCAGTGCAGGAGAGCCTGACCATGTGCTACTGTGTGTACTGTATTTTCTGTGCTTCCAAGAAAAAGCTATTTTATAATGTTTTTAGAAGTATTAAAACAGTTTTCTGTGATTTTCAGGGCAGCCTAAGGGATTCAGACATTCACAGTTCATTACTTTCAAGGGATGCTAGCAGTTGCAATCCTATGATGTGAACACAGCCTGTGCTGTTGGTACTGTGCTTCACACCAATTTAACCATACAGACAAGTTACTGTAGTTACTAGGCACAACATTAAGATGGTACTGACTTAGATTTATATGTCACATGATGAAATTATTTAAGATCCAACATCTCAAAACAGGGAGGGAGGGAGGGAAGGAGGGAGATATATATGCTGGATATGGACCACTGAAAAAATCTCAGTATCCCACCCGGATATAATGCTCCTACCCCAAGATTAAGGACAGGCAGGTGCTGCATTGTCCCACTATATGTCTTGCACTCAAAAAATAATGTGATTCCCTGATGCTGTATTTTGGGAAACAAAATTAAATGCTATTATGCTTGCTCATTGCTATCAATATTTTTAGCATTACTTGGCTGCAAGTTTCTCTGAGATTCAGGCTTTTAGAAGTGGTTTTAGAGAGAGGGATGATGGAAGGGAAGAGAAAAAGCCAAGGGTGAAAAATTCAGGAATTAAGCTAATTTGTTATATGAATTAATTGAAAACATACAGGAAGTGGCTACTTTCATGATTTCATAGTGCATTTTATACATATAAATGTATCATATCATAATCAAATATTTAGATTTAAAATGCTAACTGCATAAATGCTAACACAGGCATGGACTTTTCAAAGGGTGGGCAGGCCCTCACTGCTGTTAGCGCCTGTCAACGTGGTGAGAGCTCCTCTGTCACGTCAGGCAGTTCTGATGCCGCTGCGCCGCATCCTCACGGAGAGCAGGGCAGTGCTGTCCCTCCTGCATTCAGCCTGTGTCGTTATTATTTTGAGGGTAGTAGCTTAGCAGAAGAAAAAGTAGAGATGGCAAACAAGAAATGAAGGGGAAGAACAAGAGAAAAGGCATAAAGGTGGTGCAACACCATCGAATCTTAGTGCCACTTGACTGGGAGATCTGTGCTTCATCCACCCATGCTCCTTGACACCCTAGGAACACAGGCATATTAACGCTAAATAAAAATACTTTGATAAAAAGCTGAACTTACCAGTCATCACAAAAGCTTTGACACAGTGGAACAGACCGAATACCAGCAGCGTATTTGGGATGGATCCAGCGAGCAGCATGTGGAGAACACCGGTAAAAGCACTCAATTTTCTTTGTGAAATCTTCACAGCTGTGGTGGGTGAGAAAAGCCACAAATAAGCCTGTTTCTTAGCATCAAGGCTATAGCCTTAGTTTTCTAGGCCTGCTTTGATGTGGATGAAATACTACAGATTAGGAGAACAATGTAGAAAAGCATCCTTTCGCCCAGTTAGTGTCTAGGTTCCAAACTCATTCCTTTGGCATTCTGTACCGACTCTGACTGTGCAATTACCATAGCCAGCTAAAGAGCTCACAAATGTTTCCATGCATATTTCAGCCCTATTTGTGTAAGCTTTCCGTAAACTTTTGAGGCCTTGAGTTTTCCTGGCAAGAACGGTTCCAGGCAATAATAAAATGTAGTTTAAAACTATAGTACAAAACCTCTTTTATGCTGTAGCCTCATGGTTTCACTAATCTTTAGATTTTCCCACAGCCCAGCTGAAGTTACTTAAAAACGCATACTGTTGCTGCTCTTCTGGGAGTGGCAGGCAATAGCTGTTACTTTTGTGCACATCTGTTTTTGCTTAATTGTTTTGTACTTTCATTCTTTTATTTCTATAACTTGCCATGTTTCACAGCTGTAACATCTAACAGGGTACTAAAAGTCTTAATTATGAAGACATTCTTCGTGGTTACAAAACCCACAGGACTACAAGAATTTTTATTCTAAATACTCAGAAATTTCACTCCTGGACTCTTGTGCATTTTGTTTGTGAGATTTAATAATCTAATTGATCTGCTTTCTAAACAAAGGAAGAAGCCTGGTCTGTATTGACTAGGGGTCGCACTCCCTGGTGTGCGATGGTTGCTTTGGAGAGCTACAGAGGTACGGTGTGGTGGTTACCTACTGGGTTTACGACTGCTTTGCATTGCTAGATCTGGTTCTATGCTGAAAGCAAACTTGAAAAAACATAACCCTTTCTTGATAAAATGGCAGATATCCTTCTGCACAAATAGTATATACTTAGGGATTCATGGCCTCTTGTGAGAGGAGAAGAAGAAGGGCCAGATGTTGGTCAGGTGTAGAGACAAGGTGACGGGAACTAGGCTGGGTGGCATGATCTCTAGAGCAACCTAGGGACCGTCCATCAGCAACTCCAGGGGGAGTCACCATTGGCTGTGTGGCTGCTACAGCACAGATCTATTGAACCAGGACACAGACAACATCAAAGCTGACTTACGATTTACTGAGCTGCCCGCATCTGTTCCAGTAGCTGTTTTTTACTTTAATTACTGGGGAATGAGCCAATTGCTCTGTGAAGTCTGCATAGCAACAGGAAGCTGTTAGGAATGAAACAGAGATCTTGCAATAAGGATTTTCTTTAATACTGTATTTGGAAGGCTCAAAATGTAAGATGAATCCGTTTTGGTCTGTAACATGATAAAGTCTCGTAGCACTAACCAGAAGATGTACTCAAGCCCTAACACTTTTGGTTTTGGAAGCAGCAGTGTAAATGCTAAGTGAGGTGCACTGGCATCAACAGTGCTTTGTCAAGGTGTGCCCAGAGAGCCCCAAGAATTTTACTAGTGTTCTGCCAGATGTTATATCCTGAGGGATACTAACTTTGAAAGCTACCAAACATAAAGAGAGTTGAAGAAATGTAATAAATACTATACTTTGCTCACTGTAGAATTTTGATCTCAACCTTTCCCATTTGGTGTCTGCTACAATTAATTAATTTTTATACTTAATCACAATAAACCAAATTCATCTTTGCTGTAAACTTTTTTAAGCAGATGGAGCTACAAGAAAAGTAAACCGCATCATAATTTATTTTAAAGATATAAATGAAGTCAATGAGAGTTTTGCAGTTGACTTTGTTAAGAACCAGAATCTTACTCTTGCTTTGCATGCAGCAAAACGCCAATGAAGGAAGCTTTTCAAATGCAACATATACTGCATCTTAAATATTTTTGAGAAATTAAGGGAACTGCCAAAACAATTAGTGTGTACAAAGCTGTACTTCTAGACTATATTTGGCAAAAATTAAACCACTCTTACATTTAGAGTACAGAGTGCATTCATGCATATTTGGCTCAGGACTTGGCTTCAGTTTGTGGGTGTCCCCTTCCAGACATCCGTATTTTTGGCAGGTAGATGACGTCATGACAGCAAAGACGGTGACAGCAAACCTCAGCATTGTTGTTTGGTTCTTTTTCCTGTATGGAAAGAAGTCTTTATTTATATCCTTTATTTGTAGGAGAAGCCATAACATTAAAAGGAAGGGCTGCTTTAAAAAAGCTACATACATAACCAAATAAAATATGCTCAGCAAAGATGCACACATAAATATGAAGACACACATTCTCCCTTTCTCTTTGCTTATATCTGAACACTTCTGCTACATATTTTTGAGGTTTGGTGGCAAGTGATAAAAGCCACCAATAGTTCAGGCTATTTATGAAAACATGTTATAATTTTCAGTATTTATGAAAATGATTTTGAATTTCTTACACTGACCTGAATTTATCTTTGAACCCCTCCAAGAGACATCCCTATGCTTCACTAGATTTCAAGAAAAGATTGATTAGTTCTTAAAACTTGCAGAGTTGTTTTGCACACTTGGAAATTACGCATTTAATACAGCTGCAAGTGAGCTAGCAGTGGTCAGCACCTGAGCTGGATAAATTACATTGATAACTTGGCTTTGTTGAGGCTATGCTAATTTATACTGAAGAATCTGATCCATTATTTCCTGCCTGTTTTGTAGGGCTTGGTCAAAAATGCAAGATAAAAACGTTTTGTCTGTGAAACTAAAATGTCTCTAAACACAGACTACATATTAGTGGGCTATATAGATAAATCTAGAACCTGTTACATAAATCAATGCATAGTTCTTCATACATATTATCAATTTAACCCTTCATTCTTTAGTTAAATATTCCTGTTATCTTTTTGGAATAATTTTGGCTGAGTATGGACTGCAGCTCCGCTATGTACCTAGACATTTCAGATACAAAGAAAACAACATGTTACAGAAGAAGAAAACTGTCTCTCCAGTTTCTCAGTAGTTTCTCACCTCTTTTGCTGTCCTTCTGGGTGATACTCCTCTCTGGAACAGGAACACAGTAAATTGCTTTTTTAATTTTCCACTTTATATACATACCATCTGGCATCAGTGCTCCAGAATTTGTTTGCCCTGGAAGAGTTCCTTGACCCTTTGGAATGCTAACATAGATTTATTTCAAAAGCAGATGCAATGACCAGCACATAATGCCCTTTTATTGTTTGCAAACATTGACATGATAAAGAGGAAAGTGCAAACGTAGGTTAGAATTAGAAAAACAACAGCTCTCTTATATACCAAATACAACTAACCCCCTGCTTGATTTTTCAATGATTCCTTTTATTATTAATTATTAGATTCATTTCTGCAACAGTTTCATGGGGCTTTTATCACAGATTAGGAGTTCACTGAATTAGAGACATTAAAAACAACATTTCATATTTCAGCCTGACTGGCTTAATTTTGACTGTAGATATGATGGCTTCCTTGGCTTACACAGTAATTTTACTGCAGCCCCTGGAAGAGAATCCACATCTCCCGATTCCTGGGTCTTTGCCCTCTGTTCACAAGATCCCTTTAAAACCTGCTGCTGTTTGCTCTGGTTGCTCTGCCTGCCTCATATGTACCCTCCAACCAGTGTCACAAGCGCTACAAGGAACTGTTGCTTGTACCATTGATAGTCATTCCCGATTGATTGATTGGCTTTCACTGCGAGATCTGCTTTCTGCAAAGAGGATTCTGCATCTGAACATAAACCATTGCATAAGGTCGACACGGTGATTACAAATAGTTGCACTGACTTTCATAGATCAAATCTCATTGAGTACTGTAAAAAGCAGTACCACTCACTACCTTGCAATTATTTAGATGCATAAGGAAAGTAGCATCTGTTGTTTTTGTGTTTACAACAGAACACTGGTTTGTCAGATAATACTCTGGGGCCATTATTTACAAACCTTTTTTGCTTGAAAAAACAAACATTGGCACAGTGGAAGTGTGGTATGAATCTCATTGAGCAAACTCACTGAGCATGATAATAAAACAATCTCTATAAGCTATAAGCACTGATTCCTATCCTAACTCTAGTAAATGCCTCCAGGCAAAAGTGTTGCTGGCCTAAAAAGAGCGATTTCCAGATCAGTGGAAACTGAGCGATTTTTATGTTCCAGAATGAATTTAATTAAGGCAAGTTTAAAGAATGAATTTAATTAAGGCAAGTTTAAAAAGGCATAAAGTAACTATAGGAGAAACTGAAGTAAATCTAATGGCTTATTACCCATGCCTTGACCTCATGTGGCTTGATCCAGTGTTGGCTGAAATTAATGGAGATCCTTGCTGATTTGTAATGTAAAGGATTTGTGCATACTGCTCGGCACTTGGATCTGTGTATTCATACAAAATAAAGACCGCTGTATAATATGAACACTCACTTTCAACACTGTGATGAGTGGATGGGCTAGCCAGCCTGGTAAAAAGCACAGAAATAGTACATGCTCTGTGCCTTACTGCCCGGTTTGCATAAAATATATGCACGCTTGTAAAGGTGTAAGGATGCCAGGAGGTTTCTTGTAAGGCCCCTGTTCACTGAATTGACATACAAATTATATTAAGCTATAGGAAACTGGGATCTCTTTCAGGCTTTGAGTATGAGCCAAATGGGACCACTTGCTGGGAGATTAGGCAGAGTTTCTAGCAGCAGGAAGGAAAATTGTCATATGTTTGTGATTTCTTGGACTTGGCTTTGGTTAGCAATACATGTAAGCAGGCTCAGGCTAAGGAGGTTTTAGAGATCTCAGCTATACATCTTCGTCACCTGAGAAGTAAATCTCGATTCTTTTTTCTTAAAGTATTCTCTGACTAGTTATTTTGTGTGATGTCTTATACTGAGAAATTCATTAAAGGAAGTTTCTTACCCCTTCCCGTACTTGAATGGGACATTTCTCTTTATTTGTTAAAATTGAACTTATTTTCAAGTACTCAGTGATGTTCTTGTACTTTTAAGGCTCCTACTGCCATTTAATTCTACTGTTAATATCAGTGCATTGTAACTCCTATTTATCTTTTCAAGAGCTAGAGTTAAAGCACCTATGATGTTAAGAGAAAGAGTTAAAGCATGCGTGACGTTAAGATATCGCCACAGACAGCAATTCAGGCACCACAACATTAAATTATTATTATTATTATTATTATCATCTGATGATCTAATTGATAGTGGCCTGTGATGCTAGTAGAAGTATGCATCTATTCCAAAACCACAAACACTGCTATATTAGGTCTCAAGAGCCATCTACCTGAGCAACTTCCTTCTGGCAAGAGCCAGTAGCAGAAAATTGGGGAAAAAAATGTTTAAAAAATAAAGCTAGTTGCCAACTTGCCAGCTTCTGGCAATCAGTTTAGTAACTATGTCACCTGACATCTCCTAACTCAACATAGCGATTCCTTTTTTGTGAGTCAGATCTCTTTAATGACCAAAGTAAGCTTTTATGGTTTTATATTCTTGGTAACTCTGCAAGGCCAATGTGGTTAAGGGAAAAATTGTTTGCACTTCCAACCAGTCACAATTGCCAGATCCATTTCCCTTCTTGGCATCCTGAAAGCATAACAACAGTGTGACCGGAGGGAGACAGAGTTTCAGGAGCATAAATTAGAGCATTTGGCCTGTTATAGCTTTATTATCCATGGCAGTGTGTGCTAATGAAATTAATCTGTTTGTTCCTCGTATCTCAGTGTGAGCCTGCATGCTCAGAAGCTGGAACTGTTTTTCTCGTTAACTGTAACAAGAAATGTAATTAGGAGCACAGGTTGTTACCCAATTAAGTGTTATTCCTGAAGCTTCTTTGCAGAACTGCATTTGAAGTTGCAATAAGGGCACATTATTTGATGATCGGTTAAGTATATGTTGTTGACTTTCATTATGTTAGACTTCAGAACCAAGAGTTCATATTCACCAGTCTCTGTGCTGAATGTATCATGTCACAAGTCAAGCTGAATGCCAAAGGAGGCGCTCCAGATGGACTCAGCCTGGCACTCTTGACTCTGGAGAAAGAAAAGCGGAGGTCAAATCTTAACACTACTGAATTTAAGGTGTGATTTGTTTCTGTTCACTTTGGTGAGGCTGGGATTCCTCCTTTTGTCTGTGTAAGGAATACATCATGGCACAAAGTAAGGCTTAGTTGCTTGATTTGAGTACGTAAATGTTGCTGAGCTAGTTCTCCAACCAGGCACAGGAATGACAAAAGCACCAGTAATTTTATATAACCAAGAGAGTGAGTCAGCGGGGGAAAAAAAAAGCAGATATTTTAATGAATAGTAGGTTTAAAAAGCAATCACAATGCACAACAACAAAATTATCATTGTAAAAATGTTATTTTAAGCCCCATGTTAGGTTTTTCAAAATTAAAGGGGACAAAAACCTACTTATTTTAGCTTATTACTGAGTTGAAAGCACCTCTTGAAAGCATAACTGAATGCTCTTCCTTTGCCCTAGTCTTTCATTTGCCTTTCACATTCTGCTAGTCTGTTACTGTGAGGTTCCTTGAACCACTAACAATTATTGTTATTTTTTCTACAGAGAATGGGCTTTGGTTTGGATAGCTACTGACTGTGTGGTGTGATGTGGGCTCTCGCAAGTGGCAAAGAAAATCTGGGTCCAGCTTGACCTATACTCCAGAATTAACCAACGGCAATCTTGTCTCTAATTTAGAGTATTAATATTTGATTGAATTTTCTACAATCACTTATGAATGATGAATTTCTTCTTAGGGGAGTATGAATACTATTTTTTTTTCTATTTACACTTTTATTATGGGTATTTATTATTTGTGTAGAGGTAATGCCTAGACGTCCCTGCATGAAGTTGTGATGTAGTGTTTTAAAGTATTGGGTGCCAATACTGGATTATGGATGGCCGTGTCCCACAGCCCCCTTTTCTGCCCCGATCCTGTATGGCCCCTTTCCCTCCACTGTGCTGGCACAACCCAGATGGGGTTGTACACCCAACCAGATGGGGGAATGGATCCAGCAAAAAGAAATCCAGCGCTTCCCCCTGCCTCCAGTGTTTCTAGCCAAATCAATTTGAAATTTCAGTCTATAGCACAGCTGTAGAAGAGTTGTGTTGCTGTGAGGGAAAGGGTGGTATATCACAATGAGAGGGACAAACTGGGGAGGGCAGGACTGGCAGTACTTTCCGTCAGAACTGCCAACCTCTAAGGCCCATTGTGTTAGCATTCTGGGCTTTTTTTAAATTATTATGTTGAACACCTTGTATTCAAAATTAAGAACTGACAGGTCTATAAAGAAAACAAATAATGCAAGCACAAGGTAACAGTGAGATCATAATGGTCAACATATTAAAAGGAAGTGACTGAAAACCACCAGATTAATCACTGCCGAGCTTTTCCTGTTTGTATCACGGCAGGGATGAATTTTAAGGACACAGTTGAGGTCCATGTAGTGTCTCTGCAGACATCTCTGAGGAATGACTCCCATACATGTCATATTAGTTCTAGATTGCTTGACTCATTGCCCTGTGATGAATCTGTGGTTAGAAAATTGACCACAACACTCAGGGAACAGGTATTTTTTCCCCAATACCTTTCTTTACGTTGTCCTCTCTCTCTCAGCATCCCTGAGATGGCTCCCCTCTGTTGTATCAGTCAAAAACTGCTTTCACTTCCAACTCCCTTCTCAGTTTATCTATGCCCTTTTTGTCTGTTCTCCTTCGATACAGACACATTAAGTCTCCTGAAGTGTCCTGATGCCAGCCTCCACCTGTTGGATTTGCCTGGATTGCTTTCTTGTATTTGTCACCTCATATGTGGGAGGCATTTCTGTAAGTAGCAGTAAAACTACATGTAATCTTTGCCTTAGCCCTCCTTAAAACTCATCTTTGTTTGGGTGCCCAAAGAGAGGGTGACAACAGTTAGGATCTGATGCTACTCCTGCTGGCCAGCATCTCTCCATTCCCCACGTGCTTCCCTTTCTGGACCTGTCAGAAATGCACACAAATATACGTATTTACATGCATA